AGGGTGGGTTTTGAAGTCATTAGGGGGGTGCAATAGAAAATCCAAAGGATTTAGGAATCCTCTTGACATCCGAAGTTTTGGTTGATTTTCATATGGTTTTAAAAAGGATTGTATATACAAGAACTAAATGCGACTTTAAATGATTTTTCATCACAGTTTTAGCCGTATTTAATTAAATCTCAATTGAATTTCATTCGATTTCAATTAATTTTGAAATGAATTTTAACTAAACTTCACTTGATTCTAACGGGATTTTAATTCGATTTCAATTGATTAAAAATAAATTCAATGAAATTTCAATTGATGTTAACGTGATTTTAATTCGATTTCAATTGATGTTAAAAGGAATTGTAATTAAAGACTTTAATTGATTTTAAAGGAATTTAAGCGGCCCAACCAAGTCCTTTCAATAAATATGCCTCCCTAATAATAAATAATCTCCAATCACCGGATTATTTATTATTAAGGGGGGGGGGGTCGTTTATTAGGGGGAAGCGATTAACGATTACCACCATGGGCACAAGGAGTTATAGTAGCCCCTTAATGAAGCACCTCTAAGGACAGCTACCATATAAGCGGGAATGACCCAGCATGAGCTACAATCAACATATCCTGCAGAATCTAACGGACACGGGTTCCTTATTAGGGACTACACTCAACTATAAGAGGGACTCCTATGTCCGTGCACCATGAAAAGGTCCCTTAATAAGGCTGATATTGACAATAGTTCACATAAAGATGAGAAGAATCCTAAACCCTAAACCCCTAACCCCTAAGCCCTAAACCCTAAACCCTAACATAGAGATAGCAAGGCAATCTCGAAGCCAAGCCCCAGCGACAACTAAGAGTTGCAAGCTAATGCCCTCCTCCAACCCCCCACCCACCCCCTAGGTTTAGGGTTTAGGCTTTAGGGTTTAGGGTTCAGGGTTTAGGAACCCCCTAAATGATAACTAAGAAGACTTAAAAACGAAGAACAACAATATGAAAAATGAATAAAAAATAGCAAGACTAATAAAAAATGACCTATATTAAATGATACTACGTAACAAATGATAATGAAAACAACAAAGACTAAAAAAGACATGAAATAAATGCTTCAATAGATAACAAACAAATAATGAATTATCATGAGTATTTCACCTATAACATTATGATACTATACTTGGGGTTGTCGTAGGCTTTAGGGCCTAGGGGAAATCATCAAAATTCCCCCTGAAATCTAATGACACTGGGAGGTCGATCCCCTAAACCCTAAACCCTAAACCCTAAAAAGTGATTGCAGGCCTCTCGGGATCCTGTCGACAGGCTGGTCATCCCGCAGATGGACGGTTTAGGGGCTCGCAGTTTCGGGTTTAGGGTTTAGAGCTTACGCTTTCAAAACAGCTTCGCTACCAAACGCACAAAATTCACCAACCCTTTGCTTGGGTAGGTTCGGGGGCCCTATAGCATTTTTTCATGGCTTTACAGGCATTACATAGGAATTCAGAGCTGGCCGAATATATTAGGTCTAAGATTTTTGAGGGGTTCCAATGACAAGGATCATAGTGTTTTGGGGTCTATACGAGGGTGTCCCTACTTGGGCAACTACCACTTATGTTGCCTGCAGGCTGTAGTTAAGATATGAGTTCTGCATCATTGAACCCATAGTTAAGGACTTTGGGACAATGCACAAGTATCGCTGCTTCAGAAACAAACGTTCTGATTGCGCGTGACGCGTTGCAGGCACGAGGTTTGCAAGCTGCTGTCTGGGGACTAGAGGCTACAGCCAAAACTTGGATCCCACGCTTGTGAACCGAACAAGACGTACGACAAGTCAAGGCCAAATGTCACACATAAATGTTAAGTTCTGATTCGGCACTGAGTGGGCGGAGGATGGTTGCCGGAACAAGGATGCCAACAGGATAACCTTAGGTCTAGGCAGAAGCGAGGTGCTGTGGACAGCTTCAATGACAAAACGTTTGCTGGCTTGGCACTTCTTGCAACCACACCAGGCTAACTTACTGGTTCTTCTTAGTAGGGAATAAGGGAATATGATCAGTATCTAATCCCCATAGAATATATTCCTTCACTACCTACTAAGAGCCAGTAAGGTAACGTCACGCTGTTTTCTGTGGCATGCACCATTTCTCGAGTCAGCCTCTAATACTAAAACTCCCTTGCCCTACTGGTGCTTAAGGGCTAAGGGGGAGTGGGGGACTGAATATAGGGTTTAGGGCATGAGGCATAAGGTGGAGAAGTGAATATAGGTACCGTTATACGGGTATATATGGAGATCATGTAGGGATTGTTATAGGGACCCACTCCCCCCACCCTAAATCCTAAACCCTATATACCAAAATTTGCCCCTCCTTTAGGGGTCCCGAAACCCTAAACCCCTAAACCGTGTGGGATCCACTCCCCCAACTCTCCCCCTATATAACCCCTATATAACCCCTTTAAAGGGATCCCTAATATACTATAGTAGTTTCCATTTTCTTTTCCAT